CCGTGTGACGTCATGACGTATGCTAATGATCATGCGCCACCACAATCTATGCTAATGATGATGCGCCACCTCAGTCTATGCTAATGATGATGCGCCACCTCAGTCTATGCTAATGATGATGCGCCACCACAATCTATGCTAATGGTGATGCGCCACCTCATTCTATGCTAATGATGAAGCGCTACCACCACACTCCACCAGCACACGCCACCACAAAAAAGGGGCTCGAACGGTCTGTTTATTACTACTACTGGGAAGTTCTGGAAGTTCGTGATCATGCAATGACGTGTTGTACCATCACTGTGAGAACGAACCTCGATCTTTGGCCAAGGATGTGTTGACCTCTCTCCTTGACTGTCCAACATCCGCTCATCTGGACATTATGAAGATGTCATCAAAATTTTATGCAAGGTTTTACTGGCCTTGTCAGCGGCTAGAGGCCGAAGATTTTATTTTTGATAATCGCGATACAAAATTACAGTCACGGTGGAATTTTGATCCAGGTAGTAGTCCAAAACTGAATTCGGTTCATGAAATTTATCATCAAAATGAAATTCAAATACAGGAAGATGATGAATTTAGATAGTTGCGTCATTGAATTTGAATTTATTATTTCATTCAGAAATCTACAATTCAGGGCAATTAGGGCGAAAATGCGGCAGTTTTTTTGAAAGCTCGGGATACTGAATAGCTTTCGAAATTTATTCGAGTCGATATCACCGTTTAAAAGCATATGCGCCTATAAAATCTGCATTCTATACGGGGCATTTGTAAATTTCTTGGAAAATTATCAGCTTTTTGGAACGCTTTTGGTCAGCCCGTTTGATCTATTACAACTGAACAAATAATAACATAAATAAACTAACACTGACCAAGAAATTCTTACTAATTGAAGGTCCATGACCATGTTAACGTCGAGCTTCAGGACGTTTTGTAAAAGTCCCATATATACAATACATTTAAGAAATTTACTAACTTTATCCTACTCTAGTTATCCTGACCTATTTCAGTTTTGACTCTGAGCAGCTGTATTAATAAACACGAGGTTATCTAGCTATATCTTCAGTACTAATTGTCCTTTTATACTTGCTTTTCATTAAATCCTAGAATGGCCATAGTCCAAAGGAATGTTTACAAACACAATCAGAAGGTGTTAACAGTGATTGCAGATTGACCCAACAAGCATTTTTTGAATGCAAACGATCTCTGGTAAGTATTTGGGGAAATACTTACACAACTAATTTAAATAAAATTCGATCCGGTCAAAATGCATGTGTAAAAAGCATATTTTTCGCCTCACAAAGTCAAAGAGAGAATGCGACACCGTATTACTGTACATCTTTTAAAGATTCTTAAATTTGATATTTTCAAATTGAACTAAATTAGTATATTTACATAAGATTATACACGATAAGAGCATAGACGGATTTTCATATTTTTTACTGGGGTGGTGCCAGAAATTTTAGGGGGGTGAGCCGTGAGCAGGTGACTGAAGCAACACAAAGTGTCGTCAAACTCCAGTAAGGTCTATATTCTAGGGGTGGAGCACTAGAGCAGCGAGGGGGAGTCTAGAGAGCAGAAAACAAAGTATCCCTGGAAAAATCTGAAAAAAATCATGATTTCTAGCTTCGAAAAAACGTTTTTTGAAGTTGTCATATCAATCCAATACACAATATGCTTTTACTTTTATAAAATCATTGACATTGTGTCGTTTGAATCCGAGTACAATTTATGACGCAACTCCGATGTAAATAATATTTGGGACGTAAAGATTAAATCTAGGCAAAACTATTTCCTAAAAGAATTAAAAACTAAAAATAATGTTCGTAAAATTTCCAAACGTTCCTTGCAAGGAAGCTATTTGCATGACAAGGCACTGCATACTCTATTCAGGGAGATAATAGAGTTTCAAAACTTTACTATTGCTCCAATAAACCAGTGAATGCAAGCGAGGAGCAATTAGTTTCAGAGTATTGCACTGTCTTTTTCTATTTGAGTGTACTCCTACGTTTACTTTGTATCATCAACACTCTGCACGTTGGAGTGGACTATTTAATTTTTTATTATGCCGAATATTTGGGGGGGGGGGGGTTGAAATTTTTT